GGCGGTGGAAAGCTGGTGCGGCTTCCCCTGACGCCCTGCTCGGGACGCAAACGACTGTTTAGTTCGTCCCATGGGCTGAGGGCAGATTTTAGCTGGGTAGGCCAGAAAAGGAAGGCTTGGCTGATGGTTCAAAACCATAAAGGCCTGCAGGAACAGCTGCTGCAACACACTGCCAGGCTGGCTGGAGCCCGCTGCCCTGCTCTCAGCCACCCCTACCGATTTCGGTCACAACCGGTTGCTCCAGTTGTTCCTTCAAAAAGAAGAACAAGGCAGACACGGGATTATCAGTCCCTGTGCACTACCCTGGCACGGAGAAATGCATTTCAACCCCAAAGCAGACAGAAGGCAAATACTTTAAGAGACTGAATTGGTTCTTGCTCTTCACTAATGAGCACTTAGGACCCAGCCCTAGCAATCAATGCTTTGTGTCCCATATGGCATGAGACGAGACTCACTGTAAAATAGAACATTTCAGTTTCCTGCTGGTTGGCTCTCCTCTTGGCGATGTTTATTTTACTCATGTAGGTCTCTGATGCAGCCGATTTGACTGACTCAGTGGAGCGACTATGCTGGAAGGCATCTGAAACATCAAAATCCTCCACCGTCAGCATGTCCTGCAAAGTCTGCATTGTGGCATCCAGAGTTTTTCGTACCTATCAGAAACAGAAGATAGGATGGGTTTGAAGCAGACTGGGAAAGTGGCACATTTTGAGCCAAAACCACTGGCCAACAGGCAGCTCCGCAGCACCGGGCTTGCTCCTGCGCTCGCTGCGGTCAGCGGGAGCTCCCAGCGCTGCCGCGGGAAAGGCTCCACACCCGAGCACCTCGGGAGACCCCCCGCCTACGGGCAAGAGGCCGAGCAATGCTGCGGGGCCAAACACGAGACCCAGAGCAACTTCTTACCTCTTCGTTCTCTATCTTGAGGGTGGCCAGTCGCGACTGCAGCTGGTGGTACCGCATCAGCAACTCGGTCTGCACAGGCTGCTGGGCGCTGACCTGGCACACCTGAGGCAGGAGCCAGAGAGAGACAGGAGAGCACTCAGCAGGCTGCACACGGACCAGACGCACACATTTAACCAGCTAAACGATTCTCTCCAGCACCCCCAAGCTCCTCGCAGCCTCCAGGGAGGCTGTGTGGCCCAGTTTTTAATCGGCAGTGCCCTGGACCCAGGCCAGCACACAAAGCGTTTTCCACCCAGCATTTGGAAGCTGCGCTCTGAAGTCTTCCAATTACAGCAGGTAAATCAAAGCTGCGCTTTACAAATCTGTTGGGCAGTTCAGCTGAGAATCAAACCACAGGCTTCCTAATTGGGAGAGATACAGAGCAAGAGGCAGACTGAAAGGAGGAGCCCTAATGAGCCAAGTGCCTCATTAAGAAAGGAAACACGGATAGCAGCGCGTGAAGACAGCACAGAGGGATAAGGAGTCAGAAATAATTTATCAGTGGTGATTAAGAGGAGGCGGCGGCCGGGCCAGGCCAGGCTGCGAGGCACCTCTGCAGCCCCTCAGGTGAGTACGCTACCTCGTCCCCCATGTGAGGCTGGAACTCGAACTTCAGCGGAGGGCAGAAGACCTGGTTGCACATGTCCATGATGGTGTGCTTGTCACTCCGTGCATCCAGGTTGTCCACTGCGTTCTCGATGATGTCCAGGCCCTCGTGGCGGGAGGTTTCCAGGTTGTACTCAGCAGACAGGTACGTCCTGAAGGTCCGAGCGAGGCTGGCGTGGAATCCCAGATCACAGCACTGAGAAACACCGAGGAAGGATCCGGTCACACAAACACTCCCACCCTTGTTCTGGAGGGTCATGCGTACATTAAATGCCCAAAAAAGCATTGTACATCCCAGAGAACCATCAGCCCTGTTGTAGCGGGGTATATTTAACAGCAATACCACATGAAAAGGCAAGAAGGAGAGCAGACTGAAGGAGAAGGGGCCCCAGGGAACAAGCAGCCAGATAGCACAGCGACCCTGCGCTGGGTCCTTGCCACAGCACCAGGGCTTAACACCCTTCATTTTGCTGGGAACGGGATCTTCTCAGACAGGACAGAGGGGGAAAAAAACCCCAAATCATCCAGACCCATGGTTCTCCTGGCTACCTGCTCAGCACCACCCCGGGGCCAGCATGACCACAGGGACCCACCGGTGGCAAAACCTGTGCCCTGCAGCAGCCCCCGGAAAGAAATGGCCAGCAGGCCTGTGCCACTGCTTGTTCCCCAGCGATTTCTGTCTCGCCTTCTGAACCACCCTGCAAGCGCTTTTTACACAGAAACCATTTCCCTCAGCTATCAAACACAGCCAACGTCCAAGCAAGGTGGCACTGGAAAAGGCGCCCTGCAGTACGTGCAAACCCTTCTCGCCTCGCTAGAGAGCTGCCTCTCTCACGACGGAGCAGCTTCTCAGGCGTCACTCATCGTTCTCATGTTCACCTTGGGGAAAATGATAAAACTCGGAGCTAATTGCTGCCAAAATACTGTACATTAGACAAAAGCCTGTTTTTAGACTCTCTTCTCCATATAATTGAGTTTGGCATAGGGACCTGCTGCTACGAACGCCTGGGCACGGCGGAGCAAAGAGCAGCTCTGAGCAGCTCCCCCCTCCCGGCCCCCAAGGGGAGCCCTGGCACCACGCGGGGCTCTGCTCTGACCGGCTCATCTGCTGCGAGCAGCCTGCCCGGGGAGCGGGGGGCAAGGACGGGCACCCAAGAAGCACCCAAAATTTAGGTGCCAACAGATGGTGTTCTGCAGGAACAGGCAAGACAGGGAGGATGCTGGAAGCAGGCGGAGCGCAATGCATCAGCCTGGGGCTGTAAGGAGCGTGCCGTGGAAGAGAAGGGCTGCAGTCCAAAACCGAAGCACATCTATTCCTGAGACGTAAGAGATGCTGGAGTTCCTGACAGAGGATGCAAAGTCAGACAATTATGGCTTTATCCTCTATGAGGCGTTTCATAGTCGTACGTCCCCAGTGCACCCATTCCCGTCTCCTGGCCCAGGCACGGGGGGGCTGTGGGCCACAGGGTCACCTCCAGGGAGGAACAGAGGGACCCCGTGACCAACACCTCCCTGGCACGTAGCACCAAACCAACCATTGCCAGCATGGAAACTACCAAAGGACAATTCATATGACGGACGTTACACTGTGCTGCCAGACAGATTAAAGAACGAGCAGAAGTCCTCACTCTTCGAGCTGTAACCAAAACCACCCCGGCACGGCACGGGCAGGCATACGGTGAGCAGGCTTCAGCCCCAGTGCAGCCCCACCACAACCATGAGAACCAGCACAGCACAAAAAGCAACGGAAAAGAGACGGGAGATTGCTAATGTGATCCCAATGACCTAAACTGAGACCAGCTTTTCCACAGCAGCAGAATGCCTTGCTGGGAGCTGGCATTTCAGAGGCACCTTCTCCAGCTCCACAGCACCCGCAGGCATTACTGAGCCAATGCAGAAGGGCACGGAAGGTGATCCTGCATCAGAACATCAGTGCTGACAAACTTGAATTGAAATAGGAACCTCAGCCGGTGCCAGAAGCAGCTCCAACCTCAGGCTTTCTGCAGATCCGAAGGGACAACCCTCAGCTCAGATCAAGTCACGCGCGGAGCTGTATTTGGTGCAGTCTGTGCTAAAAGCAGCAGTAAGACCACAACGGGACGATTCCTGCTCGCAGATGTGCGAGCGCAGCCTGCCTGTCCCCATCGAGCCTTTTAAACTGCACATGCAATAGCAAGGATTTCTGCAGGAACCATCGAGTGATCATAATCCAGCTTTATCCTGCTGCTATTTAGCTTCTAATCTTATTAGTTGAAAACATGGGCAGTTAAGGACTGATAGAGCGGCACCTTCATGAATCAGAAGCAACACAAAAAATGAGGAATGGGGGCAAATTTCCCTTCACCACTTGGGGCGAAGCCTTGCTACAGTGCTGTGAATCTCTCCCATGAGATGATTTCAGCATCAAGTCCTGCACGACGGCTCTGGGGCCGCACGCAGAAAGCGATGAGCCGAGGCACTGCAGCACCGCAGCCGCCCTGCTCGTCCCAGCCGTGTTTCGGTGCACCCCGAGCACCCGGCAGGCAGGGACGGGCAGCCCCGGGGGGGCGGCCATGGGAGCAGCGGTGTGGGGCATCCCGGCAGCGGGGGGATGAGGGGTGAGCTCTGCACTCGGGTATCAGTGGGGATCTGCCCCAGGACCTGCCCATGCCGGAGGAGGACCTGCCCTCCCGCCATGAACAGCCCACTGCCGTTCTGCGCCCCAAGAACAGGACTGCGCCCGGTGCCTGGCGCGCCTCCCACCCCCTTGGAAGTGGCTGCTACTCCAAAAAAACAGCCCCAGGAGAAGACGCCTGCCATGGGCCAAGGGTGGGAATTCCCATGGCACCCAGGAGTGAGCTATCACAGAGGAAAGTCGCTGGATGCCACAGAACCTGCAGAGATGGGGCTCAGTGTATTGCCAGGCGCTTTTGAGAAAAAATTCCACGTGAAATCTTCCCTGTGCTTGGAACGCTGCACCCGCGCTGAAGCCGGCCGTCATTTGCAATGCCCAGGAATCGGTCGCTACTGCAAACCAGGGCAGGCGCTTGATTAGCGAGAAGAAAAGACAGAGCAGGGACTTCCAGGGAATTCTCAGAGAAACACAAAGGGGAGGGGAAAAGAAAAAGAAAGAAAGAAAGAAAGAAAGAAAAAAAAAGAGACTTCAAACTCCTGCTCCCGGCTCCAGAACAAATGGCGTTTTCTCACTCCTCTCATCCCTTTGATGGAAAATAAATTAGAACTGCAAATAATAATCCTTAGTGCCTTTCATCTGGAGAGCTCAAAGCTCTTCGCATATTAATTCATTAAGTCTGGTAACACCCCTGCCAGAGGTGGAAATATTACAGTGTTCAACTTGAGAGACAGCGCCACCCCCGAGCTTACGCAGGCTGGTTTGGGCCAAAATGCCGCGGAAGCGGCCAAAGCCGCGTGTGCACCTTCCACTGCAGAGGAGGGGCCAGGGGCTGCAGACCACTGCTGGCCATCAGCCCCAGCGCCAGCAACCCCGTTTTAGACACAGGAGGGGAAACAGAGATACTTAAAGGCTCCTGCAAAGTGAGGCTGAAAGCCAATGAGTCTCCAGCCCTGCACAAGCACCTCGAGCCTCCCCTTGGGCAGCCAGGCAGCCAAGGGGGGGCCAGCTCCTCCCCGGGACGTGGCCGCGCTGCCGTGCCGAGGGTGCTCTCCTGCCAGCATCAGGCCCGGGATGCTCTAAAGCGACGGGGCGGTAAGCAAGCTGCCTGCTGATCACAACGGGCGGCCACCGCGTACGGGCATGCCACTGCACCCTGCGGGTGGCCACCGCGTACGGGCATGCCACTGCGCCCCACGGGCGGCCACCAGCGCCTGCCGCAGCCCCCCACCACAGAGTGTGTGCGCTCGGGTGGCTGCATGGCACCTCCAGCTCCTCAGCTCACAGCTCCCAGCAGAGTTAGTTAGTGGCTGCACCTCGTAAAACCGCGTATTTTCCATTTCCCAGGGCCGCCTCCTCAGCAGCAGGGAGAGCTGACCGGCTCCGGTGCTGCAGGCTGCCGGTGGCATTCCCAAACTGCCACCTCTGTGGGAAACCAGGTAACGGGGACACAGCAGCCGTGCCGTAAAGAGCACTGAGCCTCTTGAGACAGCCTAATTCCTCCTGATAGAAGCTGTTTATTCTTTTTATTGCTGCACTGTTGACTTTATTTGCCGTACCCTGAAGCCAGATCCGACACACAGCATGGTTAAGCTGAAGTACAGGCACCCCTCCCCAGGAGGGCACCGCGTTCTGAGTTACGGATGCTGCTCCGCGTGACTGCGGTGGCGGCAGGGCTCTGCACGGGCTTTCCCTGATAAAACATACCTGGCTCTTTGGGCTGGCAGGAGCCTGGCGGCTGGCCGAGAGCCCGCTCCAAGGACAGCATGGGAGGAACCTCTGTGCCTTTGTAGAACTGAAAGGCTCTTCGTGCTGGAAAATTTGCCTCAAACAACAGAGCAAACCCCCAAAAGAGACCCTCTGCTTGCATAAATCAGTATCTCTTCATCAAAGCCAGCGGCGTCACGCAGAGCTACGCGGGCCGGGGGAAGGTCCCCGTGTGCCTGCACGGGGACAGCGCTGCACGGAGCGAAG